AAACAGCACTGAGATGTTCTGCATTTCTGAAGTTTTCTACACATTTCCTGCAAAGCTTCATGTGAAAATGTGCCAGCTCCTGGTACGAAGTCTGCACGATGCTCATTTGAGATATTGGAATGGCGAGGATAGCGGCGAGCTGAGTTTACAGCCAGCGGTTGGTGGTTGTGTTCTGCTAAAGCACCGCCTCGATCCAAGCAGAGTGTTTCCTGTTGTGACAGCTGAGGGGTGCTACGAGCAAGGTTCAGACAGCACTCTAACCTGATTCTGATGACGTTTTTCACAGTTAATGTGTGAAAACTTGCAAGAATCCACCCCTCAGGTTATCATGTCACTGACCTCTGAAAGAGGTACGACATCACAGACACACGCCGCCTTCTCTTTTCCCGTGCCGTCATCTTCTCTGGCTTAAAAGAGCCTCTACCAGTAGTGGTGCTGTCCAGTGCGTGCATCAAGTGACCCTGTGAGTGCTTCTGTGTAACTGGATACAGTGGTTGAGTGCATATGCTTGTAGAAATGAAGATTCATGCAGGAGTGCATGTGTGTGCTGGCGTGGTGAAGCGACAGCACTGCGAGAAAGGCTCTTCGTATAAATCTAAAGTGCTGGTGCTGAGCTGGCAGATGGGGAAGTCCGCACATCATTAAACCGCCTACACAAGTGCAGAACAAGCCCACGCTTTTTGTTAGTCTGTTTGTGTGTGCTTCCCTCTCTGCACAAGTGGTACACTCGCTCTGCAGAATTGCCCCGTATCAGCTTTGTGGTGTGATTCTGCAGATTAATTGGAAAGGACAGACGTACGACATAAGATGTGATTGTTTCCAACTAATAAATGAAAGTTTTTGGTGACAATGTGATTATCTAAAGCTTTAGGGCGCAGCGTGGTGGTCAGCACTGTTGTTTCACACCAAGGTGGTCCAGGGTTTGAATCCACACACCAACTGAGCCTCTTCTGTGTGGAGTTTCTATATTCTCCCCAGTTTCCTTCAGCAGTCCAGAGACATGCATGCTAGGCTAACTGGTGAGTCTAAATTGGCTGTAGGTGTGACTATGAGCATGAGTCATCACTGAGTTGGATAAACTGAAGCAAATGTTTGCATGGCTCTTTATATTTCACGAGTTTATTTATATCAGCTCGTAACAACAGTTGCCTGAAGGCGCTTTATAAGTAACTGTTGTAGAGTTATAGCCGTACAGCTGATTATAAACAAGCACTTGGTGACAGTGGAGCAAAAGAACTCCCTTTGAACAGGAAGTGAACGATAGAAGATAACAGAAAAAGTCTCTTCACTTTTCCTTATAACCGATTAGCCAAAATGGCAAACATCCTGCGATTCCATCCTGTCAAAGTTAGGATTCCCATCTTCATTATCGGAATGTTTTTGGATCGTTGGCCCGGTCAAGGTCAAGGTCAAATTTATTTATATAGCACATTTCAAACAGCCGATGCTGCACAAAGTGCTTAACAATATAAAAATGGTATTAAAAAGCAACAATGTAATACAATAATAACA